TAGGGAAACCTAGTTTCATTAAAGACAACATCTTTGGAAATATAGAGGCGTTCATCTGCTGCAAGGCACTTGTAGCCTTTTGGAGATGTGGAATACCTTAAGAAGGCACACTCTTGTGATCAAAATTGAAGTTTGTTTTTGTTGTAAGGTCGAAGATGTGGAAAACAAGAGCAACCAAAAAAATTTGAGAAATTTGTAATCTGGAGCTTGTTGAATAAGTTTTTGATATGGAACTTCATTTTAGATAGAAGATGATGGAAGCCTATTGATTAAGTAAACATTGGTCATGAAAGCATGATCCCAAAACTGCATAGGTAGATTAGCTTGAGCTAACAAGGTGAGACCGAGTTCAAAAATATGCCTATGTTTACGTTCTACAACCCCATTTTGGTGGTGTGTGTATGTGTGGACATATGATACAATGTTGTATTCCAGTAGCATTGAGATATGCTGCGAAGGAACGATACTCTCCTTCCCAATCAGTTTGAATGGCTTTAATAGGTAGTTGGTATTGATTCTTAACTGCATGAAATTGTTTAAAAATTTCAAGAGTTTGGACTTTTCTTTTAAGAAGATAAAACCATGTGAAACGTGTGTGAGCATCAACAAAGGTAAGAAGCAAAAGTGGGCTTTACGAAAGTGAATCGATTGCACATAAAATGAGGTTTGTCTGACTGACTTGTCTATGAGAATTGAGATATGATATCAACTTCGAAAAACAAATATAAAGGGAGATTAAAAGAAATGGAAGCCTATGAAAGTTTTACATATTTCGGTCCAATATTTTGTTTTTTCTCTCATCTATATTTCCGAAGTTTTTGGGAAGGTCATGTCATTAAACCCACCTACCATCGTGATGTCAACCCATGTATAACCTAAAGGCATTCAGATACAAAAGAAACATGATAAAACCCAAACCATTCAGTATCGAGCAAAGGATTTTTCACATGCCACTTTTACACACAAAATGTTGAATAAAATAATATAGTTTTTTTACAAATATAAGAATGCTCTAAGAAAATTAGGAAAAAAAAATAAAGATAAATAACAATGACCTGTGAGAGCTGGTTGCGCATTAATACGATAGAAGACACCTCACTAGCAGCCCCAACACCTCCACCTAATGCAATACCAATATGAGAAGAAGCCAGTGCTGCTGCATCATTAATTCCATCACCAACCATAGCTACAATGTTCTTATCTTTCTGAAGTTCATTTATGAACTTCTTTTTCTCATCTGGTTTCACTCCAGATAGCACCTACAAAAGACAACACATGTAAGGCAATGAATAACCAAACATCTTTTCCGTGTTAAAGAATTACTATCAAGCAAAATATATTTTTTGGTACATAACCCGAGACATCCATCTATGCTAAAACATAAATAGCCAGCAAATTTAACTTCCAGGCTTTCATACAGATACAGTACTTGAACTCAGATGGTTGCTACTCTTAATATTTTCAAGCTTATGATGAATGGAATATAAAACTTCGTGTGTTTAAGCATAGGAGGGTTACTTGTGAACTGTGACAGAGAGTGCAGCGCACCCTTGTATTTAATATCTTATCATTAAAAGTGAATAAGTAAAAATTTCTCACTAATCAAGCAACTGATGATTCAAAGCTGCTGAAGAAGATCAATTACAGCTAGGAGATTTAATTATATATATAGAAGAAGTAACATTCAGTTCTGAGCCTCTCTTTAATGGAGTAACATCAATGTAGAAATGACCATATGTACCCTACCAATTCTAAATTTCTAACAGACATCTATACATTTTGAGTATGGCACCAAAGATCCCGCAACATAAGTGACCTTAACATTGAAAATTTATATCATATGTTGAAAACCTTTTACCTTCTCTTTGGGAATTCCGACAAGAGAAGCAACATGCTCAGCCACATTCTTCTTGTCTCCGGATAGCATGTATACACCTATATTTTGCTTAGACAGTGTGTCAACAACATCTCTTGCATCTTCCCTTATCTCATCTTCAAAATAAATTAGGCCAGCTAAAGAATCATCAACCCCAACGTAGACAAAGGATTGGTTATTATACTTCTCCACTTCTTGATGTATACTGTTAATAACTCCATTCCTGTACAAAGTGAATAACCCGCTGAAGGATTGAAATTTATAATGAAAAAATAAATAAAATTTCTACAGGAATTAGAATAGAATGAAAGCTACCAGTCTCTTAGTAAAATGGACTAGGTCTAAGGCAAGCAAACACTGGTATGCTGCAATTATTTGCAGGGAATATCTTTATAATAAATTAATAAGAAATATTAAGAACTCTCGAGGAACATCTTATATTGTCTTTGGACAAATAACCACGTACCTCGTAATCCATTCCAATGTTCCGACAGAAACCTTTTTGTTATCAATGGTTGCCACAGCACCAGATCCAGGCTCTTCCAGGAATGTTCCATCTGTTACCTGCAGATTTTGCTGTAAGGCATAAGCTGACAGTTTTATCTTCATAAATTTTGTGAAAAGAAGCTAATGCACTTGAAATATAAGATGCATACATTACAAACCAATTTCAATTCTACAATGCCTGTTAGTCAGATTACCAATGGGTAAGTCTCTTAAAAAAATTGTCATACTGACTGTAAAAGGGTACTAAAACAAAGTAGTACTAATTGAGATGTCATATAAAAAAGGATAGCAGTTAAATTGCTCAACATATTGTATAATGTTCATGTCAACAGGGAAAGAACAAATGCTTGAACAAGGTAATTGATAACCCCACAAATGCAGAGAACATAATTGAAACATTAACAAGAAATAAAATGAGAACCTTAGCATTATGACAATTAAATGCCTGAGCAGCATCCACAATTGCTTTCCCAACTGGATGTACTGAATTTGATTCTACCCCAGCCGCTAACCTTAGAACTTCAACATCAGACAAAACATTTTCTTCAGTTTGGCTGCATTAGAAAGGCAAGGTTATATCACCTTTTAGTTCCATAACTTAAGTATGTAACAAAAGAAATCATGTGAAATCCGATTACAAATACAGAAATACTACTTATTACATAACCTAGTGATATGATTTCTCACTATACTTAAAATTTCACAAAATACCTCCACATTCTTTTTCTACTTAGGAGTACAAAACAACAATTTTATGCATTGATTGTAATAAATGAACAAAAAAATCTTGACCAACACTACCTTGAAATTGCTTTTTTTATGCATGTAGGAGTGACAATGTTTGTTACAACAGGTCTACCAACTGTGAGGGTCCCTGTTTTGTCAAACACAACAGTGTTTACCATGGCAAACTTCTCTAGAATGTTTCCACCTCGCAAAAGTAATCCTTGTTTAGCCCCCAAAGAAGTTCCAACCTTTTAAACACAAAAAATTGTATAGTATGGCTTAGTTTAACCATAATGATAACTAAAGTGATACTATATGTGATTTCTGTGAAGATGCTACCAGCACTGCAGTGGGCGTGGCTAACCCAAGTGCACATGGACAAGCGACAACCTGCATTAAAAAACAAGTATTACTACCAGAACAGATACAAGAATTTTCATTTAAGCAATATCTGAGAATGCTCAAAATAGGCTTATTTTCTCTTTTCTATTAAGGAAAATAAGAGAAAGAGCAGGAGGGCTATGTATCAAAATTAAATTTGCCATCCAAACCCCTGCATAAAAGGAGTCAGTTACTCGGACTAAGAGTTTGGCTGTGTTTTTTCATTTTTATTTTAGAAGTTACTATAGAGTTTTAGTTAAAAATAATACATTCAGAAACAAAGCTAAAGCTGTTTACTGTTATATTTTATTAGCTTATTTGCAAACTTCTATACCACTAATGATTTCACCAAACTTTTGGCATGCACTCCTAACCCACCCACTAACGAATATCAACCTAAATCTCTGTCAACCCTTGCACTCTGAACTAATTTTCTCCTACTTAGATCTCTGACATCCTAGCCTCATTGGTATCAAAATTGATTGATTCACTAACTACACAAGGCTGTTTCTTTATCCCCTCTTTCATTATCAAAAGAAAGCAAATAACACAGAAAGAATATGAGCGTTGATAGCACCAAAAGCATTGTGAATTATGACAAACATTTTTCACTGTTGAAGAACATAAAGTTTGTGGCTGGTGGGTTCACTAGCAAGACAGAGAGATGCTACAGACGAAGGTATGTCATTGGGGGACTAGATGTTTTCAGAATAGAGGAGCAGAAACTCCTCTGTTGTGGAAGCACCATTTTTTTTTTTTTGCTCTTCTTTGTCAAAAAAACTCCTTTTATCTTTTTTAGAGCTTCTTTAATATTGTATTTGACCTGTTGCTCCTTTTAAGGAGAAGAAAAGCCCAAAAAATCTGGATCATATGATATCTTAGAGCTACTTTTGAGCCTATATTAACAAAACTTACAAGTGTGAAATCCGAATGTAATCTTTATTTCTAGTAAGTTATTCTGTGTAAGTTAATCTTTCCCGTTTAAAATACAGCACAGGTACAAAAAATGGAGAATAAAAAATCCATAATAACCAATGCTGCCTAAAAACTTCCTAAAGAAAAGAAATTAAATAAAGAATAACAGATTTTGCTTCTCCATTATGAATTGGAAGGACGAATTATCAATTCCACTAGCACCCATGGTAAGGATTACCGCTGTCCAAACCCCATTTCATCATCTAGTAGCAACAATGGTCCTTTTTGATTGGTATTGCATAAAGGTGTCAATTTAGGCTGGCTTGGTCCATCAGGAGAGACTGTGCGGCAAACACTTTTTAGGGCTAGACAACTGACCTATTTTAATTTTTAAAATTCACTTCATAACTACATCAATAATATAATAATTAAATTGTATATAACATATAAAATTACTAATTTTCATTTCTATACTCCTGCATTAGCCTATTATGTTTCAATGGTTGATATTTATTATATTTAAAACTTGGTGAAGGTCATCAGAAATATCTTCGAACCTTAAGCCTTTTTGTTTATTCTTTTTAACATGGGCATCTAACCAAATATAGAAAATTTAGTCCAAATAAATAAGGGTCAGTATAATTAAAAAAAAAAAAATATATATATATATATATATTGTTGAGAATAATATCATGATATTTAGTAATTATGCATAATATCTTATTTAGGAGAAACAAAATATTTTATAATATCATGATATTTAGTAATTATGCATAATATCTTATTTAGGAGAAACAAAATATTTTCTAATTATGTGTAATGAATGAATTGAGCATATATATATATATATATATGGCCCTACCTATTGGTGGCCACTCAATTGCCAGGATGGGCCAAATTAAGATTGGGCTTGGAATGCTGAACCCAACTCACACCATAAACAAGGCTATACGGGTTAGCATCAAACTTGATCCATTTATTGGGTATTGGCTTTTCATTAGAGGTGTCAAACCTCATTGACAATACCATGAAATCATAATGTGCTGTGTTTTTGTGTGTTATTGTTATTCTGTACAAGTTATTGATCACTATTTAAAACACAGCATATCTACAAAATTAGGAAAGAGATTTTAATAAACAATGCTGCTAATCAGTCTAAAAAATTCCTCAACGAAACAGATTAAATAAGGAACAATGGAATCCATTCTAATCAGTGCCCTTTAATTGGGATTCTAATTAGAAAAATTTTCAAGCATGTTAAACACATTTTCAACAATGTTTCTCAAAGAGGAGAGAGTTCCTGCATGAAAGGAAAACTCTTTAACTCCAATTTTTACTTCTTAATCTATTGCAATTGTAGTTCTTTTTCTTTAAATGCTCCAAAACAAAAATGACATGCTGCATTCAAAACTCAAATATGAAATGAAATAGTATGAGTAAAAAACGGAAGCATAAATCAGCAGACATGGAGCTAAAGAAGAATCACACAGACACAGGATGAATCTAACACACTACTAGCCATCTTATGTGAAATGATGAGAAGCTTTGAAGCATGGCCTGAAAAAAGTAAATCCTACTACTTTGTGCAAGTGCAATAATGTTCAATTCTTAACCATGTATATCAAGGTTAAATTTTAAAACACTCATTACCAAGAATTCTTATACCGTGTCCAAAAATATTCAGTCTAAATGGCCAAGCCATTACACGAGAGCTACAAAACAGATTTTATAATTTTGATTTTCTAAAATCATAAAGATGAAGGCAAAATATGCCCCAGCTACCCAGTGCCTCAACATACGTGATGGGATATATATGGCCCATGGAAAGCATTTGATAGCATACCAGAACACTGCAGGCGAGCTGCAAAGCCAATGACACCGGGCTTCCTTGATATAGAGCAGAAGGTAAAATGTGTTTGCCATACAGACTCCAGAATGTGAATGTAGCAGCAGAGGCTGCCATCACTCCGTAAGTGAAGTGTCCAGCCACCTGGATATACATAAAATGCTATTACTCAATTTAGTGAATGATGTATGTCAGAGTAATACTCACTACTCAGTTCAGTAATGTAGTAGAAAAAAGGAAGATAGAGGAATGAGAACATTTCAACCATAGTTAGGGATATTATTATGACAATGCTAGCAATTACTCTAATGGAAGGCATATGGTTTTTCAGCACCTAACGAAACATGTGCTTCAACAAAAAAGGGAAGTCAAATGAAAAGTCCTGCAAATAGATGTGGATGCAAATATGAAGCAATAAATGTTCAAATGTTCCATGTCTGCTAGGAATACAACCAAAGTACTCCGTATAAGAAATGGGAATCCCCCTTCCCTAAACTAGTTTTTGTGGTTGAGTCAGTCTAAGTCCCTTTAATAAAATTATCATGTGCTGTCTACTAAGAAATATGGGAATACAGCCAAAGCATGTGGAGTTTTTAAAAGGGTGAGAACTGGTGGACAAGTGACAACCCTTTTCAAGCTGCTTTTGGTAGCACTTGACCTGACTTGCACAAAAGTGAAAGCTAAAGCCTAACCTTATCCCAAAGAAGCTGCTTACCTAAAGACATCTCCTTAAAGATGAAGAATTACACTCTACACAGAAAATGGAGCTAACTGGAGCACACTGGCCCACTTAGTGAGTCACCGATTCAAACAACTCAGAAAACCATTGGAGCAAAACAATGATATCAAGAATCAGCCCAAAACCAGGTAAAAACGAGTGAACCAATTTCAAAAATATTTTTTTCTTTTTAAAATTTTTTAATTCTAAAACATGTTTTATAGTAAATCAAGACCCATATATGTGATGTACATATATATAGATTGCTATTATTTAGCTATTTACTATGATTTTTTTATCTTGGTAAACATGGGTGTGTTTGAATACCAATTGAAGCTACTTTCAATGAGGATCCAACAAATTCTTGCAGTCACGTTTGGTGCTTGGGAATATGTGCAACACAGGACAAAACATTTATTAAAACACACTTAACCATTGAACTATAGATCAGTGTATTCACCAGATCAAATCACCGGTCTGATTTTAAAAACATTGTTTGGAGGTATATAACATAAGCATTGTCCTACCACCCAGGGAAGGATGCTTTGACCACCTGCTAAGGTCAACTATAATATAGAAACTCCATTCCCCCGAAAAACAATGAACAAATCTTGCACAGACTTCAAGCTTTACATCTTACTTATCAAGACTAGATATTCTTCCAATCCAAAAGAAAGCCTCAATTACAATACTAAATCTGTATTTCAGAGTCACTATTGGCGGAAATTAACTATGACAAGTAACCAGACCATTTGACATAGAAACAAAACAAAATTTGCTATAAAATTAAGACAAGATTGAGTAGGTGAACCTTGTCAGCCAACCGCTGTACAGGAGCTTCCCTACTTTGTGCCTCTTCAACTAGACGAACAATGTCTCCCATAACAGTCTCGCCACCTGGTCTCCGCACTTCCACTGTAAGAGTTCCATTAAGATTTATACTTCCAGCTGCAACCTCACTCTGCAGAAATAAAACCCATCAACCAGTCACTAAAATAAACTATACAGTACTGCCCCGGTACAGAAATGTAAAGGGGTCAATCATATATCTACAGAAAATGAATTCTGCTCATCATCAATTAAGATGCAATCAAATGGTTTTCTTTTTCTACTGATAAATTGTACACAATGCACTGATGAACTTAGAATCAATGATCATAGCATCCACAGGTGCTCAAAGGAACCAATAAAAGCTGCAAGTTGAGTCAAAAGCCAAATAAATCTCAGATTATAACAAAATATTTTGAGATAGAATGTACCCCAGTTACTTTTGTTACAGGCAGTGGTTCACCAGTGAAACTTGATTCATCTATAGTGCTTCTACCAGCTCTCACAACTCCATCAGCTGGAACACGGTCCTAGAAAATAAGATATATGGGTTAAAAAAACAGCCATGTAGCTGTGACAAGTATTTTACATATCACTTGTCAAAATATAAGCAGAATGTGATCAAACTTCAAATTGCAATTAGCAATGGTTTTGCAGCACAAACATTGTCAAAGTTTAGGAATTTGAAAACAAATTGTTAGATAGAGGTAATCCCCCCCCCCCCTTCTCTTTCTTTGCCCCAATAGTGGACAAAAAGATTATCACTATCATGATGTTTCTTTCTCAATAATTCAATAGATACTTTTATCACCCAAAGCTACACTACTAAAAACCAGCCATTTTGAAAAAATACACAACTGAAGCATTTCTGAATCCTGATACCAAAACGGGGTGAAGGAGCTACAGGGTTGTATCTGATAATATGTAGATTCTGAGATTACTCACTCCAGGTAATACAATAATTTGGTCTCCAACAGAAATACTGTCAGAAGGAACTTCAACAACCAAGCCAACCTCTGTTTCCCCATTGTTCACTAAAAGGCGAGCCTTTGGTGGCAATAAACTAAGAAGTCCTGTCATATCACTGGTTGCTTTAATTTTAGCTCTCTGTTCAAGATTTCTTCCTAACAACACAAATGCAATTAGCATAATTGGTTCCTCAAAGAAAGCCTTCCAACCCTGCATAAACATAAAAAAATATCATTAAACACAATCAAATTTATATTTATATACAGCTATCACAAGTCCAATTGCATAATTTTAGAAAACAAATATATTCTTTAGCTTTTGTTAATATGTACATCCAAGCACATGTTGAGCATCTAATCTAACCAATAGTTGATTCCCATTCATGTTTGTCAAATGCAAGAGGACTCCATTTAATATAAACATAATGCTTAAACAAATATATCTACGAAAATAGATAAATAAGCATCAGCGTACTCGAACTCCAAACTATACCAAAGTAGATAAACACTATTTCACTTTGCCAACTATACATCAGCCTAAATCACATCCATCATTAGTCTTTAACCAAAATGAAAAAGAAAAAGAAAAACTAAAACATTGTAATGTAATTATGTAAATGAAATGTAGGTATGGGCTAAAACCAAACCAAACCAAACTACAACCATGAACATGGACTATGGAGGAACGTCTCTGCTACTACCTCTATTAGGTTTGCTGAATTGTGTGTTTAGACCACACATACAATGCTTTAATTATATTAACAAGGATGCAATTAAGGAAATAAAAAATGGATGTAATCCCTACTTTTCAGATGTATAATATTGACATATTCCCCTATTTACATAAAAATAAAATCATATCTTTAACACTCTCCCTAAGTTGGAGCATACATGTCGTATTGAACCGAGTATGTTACAAATGTTGTCAACACGAGCCCTTGAGGGATATCGTGAACATGTCATTGTCTACTAGTTGATCACTAGAGCTGAAAAAGTTGGTGGTGATTTTGCCTAAGAGCGCCTTTTCTTTTACAAAGTGATAGTCAATCTCTGTGTTTAGTCGCTCACACAAGACCAAATTTGTTGAAATGTGAAGAGCAGTTTGATTGTCACATATCAGTCTAGTATCTTGAGTGTCTCCAAATTTTAGTTGTTGGAGAAGTTACCTAAGACATGTAATCTCACATGCAATTGCTGCCATAGCACGGTATTCAACTTTGGCACTAGATCTAGTAATTGTGTTATGCTTTTTGTTCGTCCATGATATTAAATTCCCTCCAATAAGAACACAATACCCCCAAAGTGAAACTCCTATTTGATAGTGATCCTAACCAATTACCATCAAAGTAACAAACAATTCTAACATTTCCCCTATCTTCATATAGTAATTTGTGACTTGGTGCATTCTTTATGTATCAAAGGATGCATATTACAGCAACCCAGTGACAATCACAAGGGGTATTCAAAAATTGACTCACCACACTAACTGTAAATGTGATGTATGGTCTAGTGAAATTGAGGTAATTAAGTTTGCCCGTGAGAAGACAAAATCTTTCTAGTCTTTCAACGAGTTAGGGTCAACTGACTCAAAAGAAGCTTCACATTAGGATCCATATGAGTATTAGTCAAGTGACAATCAAGCATATTGATCATTATCAAAATGTCCAAAGCATACTTCCATTGGAAAATGGCAATGCAAATGAGAATTGGACAACTTTAATTCCCTTGAGTGGCCCCAACTCTTTTGTCTGAAATTGACTTTGGAGATGAGTTATGAGTTTGTGGATACCATCGAAGTCATCGTCGATGATGAAAATGTCGTCAACATAAAAAACTAGGTAAATATGTAAGCTAAACCAAGAGTAGAGAGAAAACACTTAGTGATTAGCCTCGTAGCGAGTCATGCCAAATTGAATTTAAGGCAGAGCTAAAGTGAGCAAACCAAGCATGGGATGACAGCTTTAAACATTAAAGTCAAGTGGAGGACTAGAGGTAGACATGTGTACTTGGTTTTCTTAGGTACCTTCAAGACCTCAAATACAACTAAGGACTCGGTCTTTTCCATGAAGTTTAAATCGTGTCTCTTTGGTGTGGCATGTTTTTCTGCAATTAGAGCACCAACAATTCTCTCGATTAGATTTTACCTATTTTTGCCTACAATTGGGGCAAATCCATTAATGGATTTTCCTATGATTAAGGCAGGTCCACCAACAGGATTCTCATCCTGCATAACATTTTGGTGAGTTTCTTCCCCTCATACTGTGTACAATACTACTAAGAATGAGGGAAGTTTTACCTTGCTCAAGAATTGAACACAGGTGGGATCATATTCAGCATTGAATCCAAACAAAACCTCAAAGATCCAATCTCTCTCAATAAACTTAGCTAAGGTAGTGATGTCATTGTTTCATTCTATCTTCAAATTTTTGTATTAATCCAACTCAATCCAAAGGCCATTGAGAATCCCATAAAATTTTGTGATAAAGAGATTGCTTTGCTTGGTGTTAAAGATTTTTGTCTTCATGTCATGGCAGGTATTGCTTCATTGAGAAAATTTGATGAAGGGTATCCCAAATTCCCTTGGATGAAGAGAGGAACATAACATTTCTCCTAACCTCGTGCATCATTAAGCTCCACAACCAGGTCATAATAACGGAGTCCTCATCATCCCACACTGCAAACTGAGGATCATCCATATCTAGAGCCTTCCCTTCAATATGATCTAATTTCCTCTAATACTTAAAGAGTTGTACAAATATATTGAGCCCACTGTAAATATTTTTTTTTCCATTAAAACGATATATTTGGTGAAGGGCAGGAAGGTTGTTGGGGTTTAATGGAGTCACTGTAGGAGAGGCAGCCATAGCAAGAACTTAGAGTCTACGACTTGACACAAACCCAGGATGACAGGTGTTCTAATTAAAATGACCCCTGAAACAGAGACAAAAGGGGTCAATGAGTCTCCCGACACCAACAGAATTGATGTCGAAGACCAAGAAGACAGCAGAAGGCAGCAAGCCACGAAACTTCACACACTGGCTAACAACAAGATGACGATCCTCCTGGACTGATTGCTGGGGATCAGAAATGGATGACAGAGACAGATATGAAACAGTAGCGGTTGTTGATGTTTTCCAGAGGTGGCCGAGGCACAATAAAGGTGCCCAACCAAAGTGATGACAAGGAAAAGCTGCAATGAAGGCAGCCTAAGGTTGCCACAAAAATAGGCAGCTAGGGTGCTGAGGCAGAGTCTCCCATATCAGGAACTCAGATACCAACTTGAAAATAAAACATTAAAGAGAATAATCTGAATATTTTTGCTTGTTGGAAATACAATCACAAGTCTATCTATATAGGCTACTGCTATTCAAGAATAACAGGAGATAGGGAAATAAAATCTCCTAATTATTACTGGTAATCAATCTCTGACCTAAATCAGTGCTAATTATAGGAAAAGTATTTGTCCTAAATTAATTACATGTATACAACACTTTTCTATTTTCTTTAATTATTTCAAGATAACTGTGTTACTAAATGTAGCAATTAATTGAATCCAAAATTACAGGTTGGAGATAATGAACTTCAAAAAGACATTTTACCAATTTTGGCAGCAGGGTGGCAAGTGAACTGACAGTAAAAGATGATAAAGCCCCAAGACCAACTAAAGTGTTCATGTTAGGCGTCCTTTTAAGAAGGCTTTTTAAGCCATCAAGGATAAGTTGGCGGCCAGGACCAAGCAACGTAAACAAAGACAAGGATAGGTGAAACCCAATGGAGTGAAATGCATGGATCCATGGTGCCTTTGGTGCAAAGAAATGAGAGAAATGGCCAACAAGACAGACAGCACATAGAGCCCAAGAAACAGCTAGTTCACGACCTTTAAACAGCACATCAATTAGCCTCAGAAGTCACAGCATATGAATTGTCAGAAAACCACTCAGAAATATCATAAGTAGGCTTTTGTAGCAACTTCTAGTATAGAAAGATTTAACAATAACCTTACCACATTGTCTTAACTGTCTATGTCTTTCCTCCATCTTCCTTTCAAAAATTTGGAGGAAACTGTCTCTTGCTGAATCTGCACTTTCAGGAACAGAATGGTCAAACCAATCAATCACATCAATGGAGAAAGCTGTTGTAATTTAAACTACACAAGCCTTAAGCTTCAACTTAGCAAAAGAATTTAATCACTCTCAAAATTATAATATGAACCAAGATAAAATTTATAAATGACTACTGACTAGCACCTAATTGCTACAACTAGATTCTCCAAAATATATTAGGAAAATTACCATTAAATAATTCTTCATAAAAATATTTCAAATTTAGGGATATTAGCTGTTCATCTGGTTAGTAGTCAATAAGCAACCATTAATTACCACTTACTGACCTCACCTAATTACCACTTTGAATGGTTAATTAATCCTTGAGTGGAAATCAAGAAATTCCTTTACTTTTTGTAATTTTCCCAATATTTTATTCGCTCAAGTGACAGAATAAGTTATGGTTCAAATCAAGCCTCCACAGGAACAAGTTCTGTGGAAAATGTTAGAATGTATGAAAAATCCAATATTATATCGATCATATCTTAGAATATATTAGATAATCCTTTAGGATTAGTTTCCTTATTTCCTCATCATCTCTTAGGATTGCTTACCATGTTTCCTTATCTCATGATTGTTTCTTATTTAGTTAGGATTATGATTAGTATAAATGTTGGTGCTCTAGAATGTATTAATGTAACATCATAATAGTAATACATTACATCACATCACATCAAGTCTATTAAATTTCAAAATATTTAGACTTTATTCTCTTCTTTCCCTCCCTTTATACCTAACACCCCATAATTTCAACAGAAAATGTTAATCTCCTGAGAATATATTGACTACCGTGGAAAACTGTGATAGCAGGTAAACAAGAATGAAATGGTGGTGATTGATGCCATCAAAGGTGACAGTAAAATTTCACGATACCCACCCACCCAACCCTCCAGGACAGAGTGCCCCTGCCCCCATAGTTATGTAGCCTCTTGTGGACCCAAAACAAAAGCAAAATAGAAGCAATTTAAAAATAACTCAAAGCAATAATAGACAAGGAGTTACACCAGGTTCTCATCACAGACACTTGCAATATATTCTATTTTCCCAATATTTGCTCACTGTTAAGAGTGGACTAACATGTATGAGGGGAATATAATCTATAAATAAATAAAAAATATTCTTAATGCTTCAAAACTAAAAGACAGAAAAATTTTAATCATGCTATCGTCATACATGTAAAAAAAGAACTCAATGACAGAGAGTTGTAATAATAAGTGCTAGATGTTTATTATACTACAACAGGTAAATTTAAAATACAGCAGCTGTAAACAATAATTGGGTACACAACAATATAATCCCATCTATACAAGCAAAACAAGACACAACCAACTTCACATGAATAAGAGTCCTCAAAATTCATGATAACTAAAGGATTGCTACTTTCAGATTAACATCAGCAAATTCTTCACCATGCAGGGGCGCCTGAACACAGACATGGCTCTCCAATACCCATCACAAGAAGCCACAGAGATTCACCTACTGAAGGGAGAAATTATAAGTTTATGACATAAATAATGGTTTTTAAATTGTCCTATATATCTAAGGATGGTGGATATATATGATTTGAAAACAGTTTACTCATACAAAGGTAATGTGTTAAAACTTAGAACCTCATGAATTGAGGGCATACCATTGACTCCAGAAAACCACTTTTTGCATTTATATGGTGAAATAACTCCTTCAGTAGCTAGCTTCTTCACCTGTCACTTAAGCCGCCAACTTCATGTAAATCCAATGAAACTCTAAACATGTGGTAACTTCTAATCTCATTTGATGTAATGACTGCTATGTGGATTGAGGATAGCCAGAGGATTAATGTGTCCATCACATGTTATGTCTATTAAACAATTCAATAGTACCTCCATGCATATGAAATTTATCTTACTACATTAAGAGCCCAGTATATATTGTTCCCAAATTAAACTTTGGTTACTTTGGTAGGAAGATTAGTTGCCAGTCATTTATACTCTCACAATTTAAGAATTTCAAAACCAAAATCCTAGCTTCAACTTCAGTGTATAGTGCTCATTTGTATAGAGCACACTAGTACCTTTAGAAACTAACACTAATATTAACAAGGGCTCAGAATAATTACAGCTAATAATCTTTAGAGATGGTGAGAATCAAGAAATATAGAAATGGACAAAAATGAGGTGCATGTAATTACAAGCATGAAGTGAGGTATGAAGCCCCAATTCAGATTTGTTGTTCACAAGTATTGAGATAAATATTTTGAAGAATGGCTGAAAGGAGGAGGTAATCCAAGTTCAACAATGAATGGCCAACTAAAATAGGTATTGCAATTATTTACAGCTTTACTTAATACTTGAATTACTATCTATTCCAGTTTCAGAGTGTTATGTAAATATGAATAGGAAAGGAATGTTAGTTAGTTAGTTAATCAGCTAGTGTTAGTTACCATTTATTCCTTTCCAATTCATATTTACTGAACACAGAGGTACATGGACCAAAGATTGTAAACCTATTGTATTACAATGAATGGCCCAGCCATTACAATTATTTACAGCTTTACTTAATAATTAATTATTATTTATCCCAGTCCAACAGACATATAGACCAAAATAGAAAGCCCACTGTATTAATTTAAATGTACATGACAATATTATATGAATACACACACAAAGTATAACAATGTTTTAGTAAACATAAAAATGAAATTTCTATTTCCAATAGAAACTATCTAGAAAGTTGACAATTTAATACCAAACAAGTCAAGCATTTCAAATAAGTTAAAATAGTATTTTTTCCCTATGACCAAGAATCAAGCAATCTACTCTAACAATTCAAACAGTAATACAAACTTGACTTTTAACACATAAATGTACATAATATAATAGTATCCCATAGTATCTTAATTACTTCTTCTATTAGGAGTTAAAAGACATGCCAAGGACTTTAACAAGATAGGATGGACATAGATGTGAACAGATAACACAATAAAAGGATGTAAAGAAGTATGAACAACCAAGCATGTGACTTTTATGAAAATTATGTAGATATCAATGTAACAAAGGTAAAAAGTTAATAATGGTTCGCTCAATGGTTTGCTCAGCTGGTAGGAATGAAGTATATTGGCTCAAAGGTCCTGGACTCAACTCCTGACAATTATCCTTCATGAGTAGGTCATCAATAAGCAGCAAGGTAAGGCCTCATTAAAGCTTGTGACATGATCTAATTCTGACCTTGGAATGGGGCAATCTCCCCTCCACTAAACATTTTTCAACCAAACAAGAAAGCCACTGTTTTGATCTTGAAAACATACCTCGAAGGCTAGAATTATAACCACAGCTAGTTAAATGCTCTGCAAGTGCCTCTCCTAATTGCTTTTGCCAATTTGGTGCATTTTTTGCTTCAGATACAGGCCAAACTATTGCTGTCTCTGTAGTTAAATTTACACTAACAGATGACACCTGTGGCTATTCAATGTCCATTTGCATAAAATGTAAAGAAACATAAGTTAGATGACTAAAATAAAACACACACACAGAGATATATACATATATATATATATAGGCACTCCCCTTTAAAGAATATGATAGAACTTTATCCACCTTACATATCTTTTCGTTAATTTGTCCCTTTGTTTATATTTTTGTTCAGAAAGAAGAGAGGTCATAAAGGATATGCAACAATACAAGTATACAACCAACATATAGAATGACAGTTTTACTCTTTCATAGACCTTTTTTTTCTTATAAATAAGGACAATAAAAAGCAAATTCGTATCAAGAATTATCAAAGAACTATGACTAAACTATTGCATTGCTTTGAAACCATTGAGCATCATTTTCCAACTTAATGCTAATCATCTCCGACAATATCCACTGACTTATGAAACAAATAATAATACCAATCATTACAAATAAAATAATGGACGCATCTAAAGTTTAGATTCTAAACCAAATTTCAACAACTTACTCGACTTTCCAGTATCCTTTTCACAGTTGCCGCACATCCCCCGCACACCATTCCCTAACAAACACGCAAACAAACCAAAATTATTAAAAATAAATAAATAACACGAAAATTATAAAATATAACAAATAAAACTACGCAGAGAGAAGAGTTCCCACGGAAACATCGAGAATGATAACATCAGGCGAGAGTGAGGAAAGCTCCTGAGCCGTGTCTCCAACCAATTTGATATTACCATCTCCAGACTCACCGCCAGAACCTCCACCTCCGCCACCGTCGCCGATTCCGCCGCCGCCACTCCCACCGCCAGCAAAAGAAGCGGCGGAGCTCGAAATGCAGCGCAAAGAACACCGCGTTCGAAGGAGCAGTCCACCGTATGAGCGGAGCGAGGAAGGCGATGGCGCGGAAGCGAAGGAACACGGAGTGCGGGAGCAGTTGCTGTAGGAAGCAACGACGCATTTGAGTTTGCGGCGGAGGAAGGCGCGTTGAGGAGCTACGGCGAAATGACGGTGGAGCGCTCTGAAAAACGCCATGTGCGCGGTGGTGGTGACGGAGAATGCAGAATCCATTGGATTGGGTTGGAGAATGGAGAATGGAGAATGGAGAAGAGTCGCACACGCTTTGTAGCTGCCTATCTTATAGTCTAGTCCACACTATGTATGTTCGGTCATACCTGCTTATGCGAAAAACATTACTCCTGACACAAGGCGCCAGCGGGGCGATTCTTAATATTTTTTTTTAATTCAATATTATTTATTATTTATTGTTATTAATTATCATTAATATGAAATCAACAATAAAAAAATGTAAAAAATTAAAAATTATCATCATGAACATGTGTATTTTAACTTTCTATATAGTTTAACTCTCATGAATTACTTAATTTATTTAAAAATATGATAAATAATTCCTATTATGTCGTTATTATTAAGTATTTCATACTCAATTTTATTTTAATATAATAAATTATAAGAAATTTCAATAAATTTAAAATTTAATTTTTTTTATTTTGACTAGATTATGTAATAGTTATTTGGTGGCCCTCATTAGGTCAAACATGCTTTTTTTTTAATGATAAGGAACATTACTTGTTGAAGGAACTGAAAATTTTTTTAAAACAATTTTCATCATCAACTCAAGTTACTCTATTGGGAGAGTTACTTCAAGTAATTGGAACTTCATTGACACCTTAGCAAACATCACCCATTAAAGATGTTCTCATTTTTTCTACTCCTTATAACTTATTAAATAATTCATTTTAATATATATTTTGATCGTAAAATTGTTGGTATCATTATGATCAGTTGTATTTGAAGTATTCTATTTGCATGTTATTATTTGTTCTCCTTTTTCAACTTTCATTGTTATATATAACGTCACTCATAGACTTTTTATATAACACTTATAAGTAACTTTTTGATTTGCACGCACAATGATGATGTCTTTCTTTAAGATTAAGAATTTTAAGCACAAGTGAGAGTAGAAACTACAAAACCTAATGCATTTAAAGTCAATTTTCCAATTGAAATATTATAGAACGTGGTTGTGTCCACTAATAGGTATTTCACCAACATGTTCCTTGTCATTTTACTAACACCAAAGGTAGTCAACATTCAATATGACCTTTGATTTTGACTCATTATCCAACAAAACCAAAGAGAGGTTCCTCATAATTCTTGATAACATTCATGGGAACACCTAACGGCTTGAAATCAACCACTATAGCGTTAGTTGAACTTTCCTAATTATCAAAAGTCTTTCGTACTTCAGAATTTTCCACCACCGTTGAGATGACAACAAAATCGTCTTAGTTTGGATCAATTTCGGCAAAATCTTCACCTAAAAACATGATGAAAGGTGATATTTTTCCTTGTCAAACATGTAGCACCTCCACCTGCAAATTCATCAACAGTGATATTGATAACCCCTCTAATCCTGTTATCATTAACATTTTCTTGATCGATTTAATCTTTTTAAGTTATTCACTATGACAATCACCTTGATTGTGGCCTTATCCTCACACTCTATCACAACATTGATAACCTCTACGATGTTCAATTTAGATTTACTTATCAATATTATCACATAGAATCCAACTATCTTCAATTGTATGACCATAATTATGGAGATACCTACAATGCTTGGAGTGATTGACATTATCTCTTGTTCGAGCTAGAGGAGGATGGGAAATTAGTTTAACATTGAAGGTCTCTGTTAAAACTCTAGTTGAACTTGCATTAAAGGGTATGAAAATCATACTGAAGTCCCTTATTCAACACCTTTTTAAACTTTTTAACTTGATGAGAACAAAATTTATCCTCAAGATTACCTTATACTTTTTAATATCCATTACACGAATATCATTATGAAGTTCTAAGAGTTCCTTCATTTAGATGCAACCTGTTGTTCAAGCACATAACTTGTCCATATTTATTGGTAGACTTTTAAACATACTGGAATAATATTATTAGTATTTTAGCATGTGAATTGTTTAAAATAAATATTTATGTTTATATAATTAAAATGTATAATAAATAAATATTTAAACATTTAAATTGTATCTCTTATTAAATAAAAAAGTCATTAACTGTCAATTTTAGAAAACACCTGTAATTAAATGTTAAACAAAAAAATTGATATAAACACGATCCAATATAATATGCAAAAACGTTTACAATTAAATACTAACCAATAAAATTGATATATCTATGATTAATTTCCAGAAAATGTATTATATACTGTAATTTTTAATTGACTTATAATAGTTTCATTTAAATAAATATGTGTATATACAAAAGTTTAATTAAATTAGTTATTTTTATATTATATAATAATTGTGAGTAATTTTTTAAAAAAATAGTAATTTAATATCCTAATCTTTGTTGTCATTGAAATTTGAAATAAAAGATGTTGTTTTAAATGTTTCATTTACGAATCTACTTACACCATCTATTGTTACCTTCATTCTACTTTTGTACACTGTTTTAAAAATATTTTTTTTACCGTTTTAAGCTTCACCTTCGTTAAGATAACTTGGTCCACAAAAAACCTCGAGGGAGATGATGAGATTGAAGTAAATGCTGGTCTGGGAACTTTCGAACGTGAAGAACAGAATGAGTTTGCTGTCAAAATTGCCATTGGTGGCCTTGTTCAGAAACTTTCCAATAATCTATCCACTAGAGATTTGCTTCGAGTTCCTGCTAAACTGGAGATGAAGGGGCGTGGTTCATTTTCCTTTACTGTTGAAAAAGAAGTCAATCAGCAGGTTGGTCTTGACAAAGGAAAATCTTCGCCTGATAAATCAACTAAGTTTCAAGGTCGACGCAGAGTTGATCATGTTATTTTTGACCTTGCTAAATTCATTGGCAAAGGAAAGATACCCTCAAAGGTAGGTCTAAATAGTTGAATATATATTGCAAATTATAATTTTTGCATAATTCAGTACCTTGGTGAACCTATCCATAAGTTGCTTAGACTATAGTGCTTTGCTTCAATCTTTTAGGTGCTGAAAGAGGTGGGAGAATTGATAAATCTCACTCTTAGCCAGGCTCAGAACCATCACAAATTATCTGGATCAACAATTTTCAATCGCATCGAAATACCAACTTCGTTTGATCCTTTAAATGGTGATTTTCTAGGAATTTATCAATTTGATTAATGAGGTGCTGAATATTGACTGCTGAATCTAAGAAGCTTTTAATCTCTAGTGTAGAGTAAACCATGTAACAAATATTTTCATTTTCATCAGGTCTATACATTGGTGCACATGGGCTTTACTCCTCTGAAGTTATTCATCTTAGTCGTAGATTTGGTCAGTGGCAAGAGGACAATGGGGCTAAGGAGCCTTCAGATCTGGAGTTTTATGAGTATGTAGAAGCTTTGAAGCTAACAGGGGATCCTTATGTACCAGCTGGCCAGGTAATATTGTAGACTTTGGTTGACTATCACAATAATTTTTGTTTCCATCTCCATCCTTTACTATTTTGTGATATTGTTTTATCTATATGCAATCTGAGGTCCTGGGACAAAAAGTGGGGGGAGGCAGTTGAAATAGCAACCTCTTTGTGTGGGAAATACAGTTTTTAATTGTGCTTGCAAAATTTATAGGAAGTTTGTGTTGAGAATACTGTGAACTTGGTAGCAATAGTTTATCTACCCTGATTATGATGTTTTTGCAAGATACTTCATATTTTCTATTAGTGTTGTAGGAAGATGAGATCAATTAGCTTTGCTATCAATTTTTATTTGTGGAGGTGTAGACTCTAGAGAGCCCTTTTGTTTCCTTTGAATGTTTTGCAGATATTTCCAGCCTTTTAAGGTGCTTTTAATGCATTGTTGAGATTGAAACCACGCGTGGACAGAATATAAAAAAGGAAAAATGAAACTCTTGTATGTTAACACATCAGTACAGTCATAACATATTTAGCACCACAATGTTTTCGGAAGTAACATGGGGTAACAAGCTTAGTAACGTGTCGTGCTGGATGTTTTGATTGATCAACAATTTTGAATGGTTCTATGCATTGTGTTAGCAACTTGGCATGTATATCTCTTCTCGGCTATAAGTGCCATCCATGCATATTTTTGAGGGTGTTCTGTGACATGGATATATTATGTATATTTTTGCTGTATATAAAAGGTTGTGTTGTGCACAACCTTTTTTAACTTGGGGTAACAAGCTTAGTAACGTGTTGTGCTGGATGTATTGATTGATAACAATTTTGAATGGTTCTATGCATTGTGTTAGCAACTTAGCATGCATATCTTGGCTATAAGTGCCATCCATGCATATTTTTGAGTAGGGGTGAGCATAAAACTGAGACCCGAACCGAACCCGAAAAACCCGATAAAAAAAATATTATTTTTGGGTGGGTTTGGGCGGGTTTTATAGGTAAATCGGGTTAAAATTTTGATTTTATACGGGTTATATTGGGAGGGTTTGGTTTTAAATTTTTAAACCCGCTAAAAACCGAACCCAATCGACAATGAGATAAATTTAGATTTTTATTACTTTTGTATAACTAAACAACAATGGTCCAAACTCAAAAGTCTTTATTTCAAGTATAATATAACCATCAATTTGTAACTTTTTTTTTCTTCTTTTTCTCATAACCTAGATATTTATTTTGTTTTCTCCTTCCTCATTCAATTTCTCAACACACTTGTCTATTTTTAAATTTTTCTTTTTGTCTCTTTCTTTATCTTTCTTTTCCATCTTCCTATCTCCATTTTGAGTACAACTTGTGCGACAGTGGTTTCTTATGGATTTTATAATCTAACTTTAGATTTATTTTGCATGTAACAATTATGGATTTTGTTATCTTTTGTTTTTGCTTCTTTAGTTTGTAAATGTTTCATTTACGAATCTACTTACACCATCTATTGTTACCTTCATTCTACTTTTGTACACTGTTTTAAAAATATTTTTTTTACCGTTTTAAGCTTCACCTTCGTTAAGATAACTTGGTCCACAAAAAACCTCAAACCCGATTGTACCCACAAATCCGAATCCGTTTCAACCCGAACCGCCTCAAATCAAAAACTCAGTATATATATATATATACTAAATAATTATATTTTTGTAAAGAAGTTAATTAAATTATTTAAAACTTAAATATGATAATGTGTACATGTGGCTATTCAATTATCATTTTGATATTATTTAAATTTGAACATTTTAATATGTTATCTTAATAAAGAATCATGATCTTTTATATAATAAATACAATTCACTTTTCTGTTGGAAACTGAATTCACTTTTCTGTTGGAAACTGAAATAATATATGAAGAACTTTATGTTGACCTATGATAATGTCGATGTAATTTTTGAAGTAAAAAAATTCATTTTTTCCTGATGTTATCCAATGTCATTGCAAGTTACAAATAAAGAATATCATTACATAATCACAATAACTTGAATCCATAAAAAAAAAAAAAAAAAAAAAAAAAAAAAAAAAAAACAAAAAAAAAAAAAAAAAAAAAAAAAAAAAAAAAAAAAAACTTACCAATTAAGAAAATGTATCAAAACTCTAATGGTCGGAATAAATTACGACCATAACTTAGGCTCTCCCAAATATTTATAATAAAATTTCAGAAAAAGCAATTGATAAAACTTAATCCAATGTTACACCTCTCAGCTTCTCTAGGTCTTACTAGACATCAATTTGTACATTAAATCAACCTATTAAACACATCAAAAGAAAAAAAACACATCTTATTTTATGCTCAAAGCATAACATTGAAATGAATAGAACATACATAAATCATCCACAATATTCTTAATCAATCACAGATTACAAGAAGTTACAAGAGGCACATTTAATGACACATTCCTCTAACTCTACCAATCCTAAATCAAAATACAGCACTCACTTACCATAAAGAAACATCATTACATACCGATACTTTCAACTTTTCTCGCATCATATTGAAATGACATCCTTTAACGACCTAATCAAAATTACTTAAATCCTAAACCCTAAACCATAAACAATATAAAACTTCAATTATAAAGACTTATGCTTTAATTTTTTAGAAATAAATTTATTTTATTTAATCATTAAGATCAATCTAGTAATAAAAGATTAAAATAATATATACATAACTTGAAATTTAAATTCTAATACTGTCATTATAATTATGATAAATAAAAATTTTACTTTATTTTTTATTTATTTTCACCCATCATGTTAATCTCTTCTTTATTTTTCAAATATCCTATTTTTCTCTTCTTTATTTTCATCCACCTTTTTTTTCTTCTTTTTCCTTCTACAAACATGCACTCAATTAAGAAAAATAATTATATGACCAATAATCGAATTAAAAAAATCACATATAGGAAAAAAAAATTCGCTATTTCTTGAATTTTGTTTCTCTTTTATTTGCTTTTTATTTTCCTTTGCACAAAAAAAATGGAATTAAAAAATAATCTCAAGAACTATTTAAAAAATTCCAAATAGTTCAAAAAAAATCATTATATTGGTATATCAATAAACATGATGATCCGAGATAATCTCAAGAGGCAATACCACCACATCAAGGGTGACAGAACACAGCGAAACATCCTGCAGATGTGGCTTACCTCAAACGAAGTCATTATCTCAAATCACCCTCAGTGAGTCAGGGGAGCAAGCCAGCACACTTTAGACTGAGGCATGGGCTATCTTGCAAACATTGAAGGTAGCAAGAACTTTGAAACCACTTGAAGCAGCCTAATTATAGGAGCAATATAGTGGATACAGGATATAGGATTTACATCCCATGACATCAGCAGAATGGACCCCCTACGACCTACCCACTAAGCCAACCAACGCTTCCAAATAGAAGAAAACCAACCTATTCTCGTGTACTTGAGCTTTAGAGTGTCATTGCAAAAAATCCCTGTTTTCCTTTGCCACTAGAGATCAGCAGAACACCACCATCTCATAATAGAGCGAGCCTAATTACAAGATCGTCACCGAAATCACTTGATGCTATCTGCGGGAAGAGTGAACTCACGGTGAAACATTCTCCCCCTTCATTCTTCGATGACTCCTAACGGTCATTCTTCCCATTAAGACTCGGGCTTCAACTATAATATCAAGTGCAACTTGCAAACAACCTCCCACCGTTACAACTAAGAACAGCAGTGCGGAGATCATGGACCAAATCCCACCACCAGCATACTCCAAATATGAAATCATCCGTCTCCTACAGGCTCAAGTTACAGAGCTGCTCCGACTTCATCAGAGGGAACCCCTGCCCGGTCGTACAAGGCTTAGAGCAGTGCCTAAAGCACCTACAAAATACTTATCCCACCCCAACTGCAAGCTGGTCAAGACAAATGAACCACAACATGGCCAACTTTCCCCTGCGAGGTGCAAGTGCAACAACCCAACAGAGCCCACATATCTCAGACGCAAACGCAATCATATCATCCCTATTCAGCAACCCAGGTATACTCCTATCATTACCTCTTTAAGATGAAACTAAACTCGATACTAAAAGCATGTAAATCCTTATTTAACTTGCTAATAGATAAAGCCCATGTAAGAGGAAGATTAACAGACAAGAAAGAAGTAAAAATGAAACGAGTCTTCAAATTGCAACTTAATTCTATCTTTAGAGTTTTATTTCTTCTCAACTTCAAATTACACCTTATTGATCATTAAGTTCCCTGTATTACCATTTCCTTTCCATACTTGTCAGGTCATCAAATATAATAATGAATATCAATCCATCATTCTGTGTCATTGTCCTCTAACTTTCCAGTTGGGGGAAGTACTTAACTAAATTGTAATTGTGCCATATTAAACATGTTCAAGCGAGGTTGTATCATAGAATCATTGGTAATATATAGTATAACTGCTAAGTCCAACAGTATGATTGAATAATAGGAATTCTGTACCAAGCAAATTTGCACTTCTAGGTTTCTAAATGCACACCAAAGGGGTAATTTCATATTCGAGGCAGTAAAGACCTAGTGATAACCAATAGGAGCTGGTGCCTCCCGCAGTTCTTTACCTTGGAAGTGGATATCCTGCATGAAAAACATGATTGTATTAAAAAGAAAAACAGGGAACACATATAAAAATAATGTCCACCTGGAGACGCATTTTGATATGATAAATACAGTAATTTTATTAACCTTTGTTTTAAAACAAAATATGCGCCACCTCACTTTCTCCTAAATTCTGAACACAAAACATAGTAGTGACAGAATGGCCAAAAGAACATATCAGAACTACGATGTAGATATAATATGTTGCCTACCCAGATGGTCACAATTTACCCTCCCCCTCCCCCGGGGGGCAAGGAAATAACAAATAACCCCATAGAATATAAGTGAATGTTCATTCTGCATGTCCCACCAATAAGAAATCGTCATTATGTGGATTAATTGAAAAATGAAAGTATACTTTTTGTTGGTCTCTGTTCATACAATTCAACTGTACGACAATAAATGTATGTTCTCTAAATTTCTGCAGCCAAAACTGATTGCACACCCATCAGCCGCTTAACCTTTCATATTTAATTTGTAGACAGATTATTATTCTGTGTATTTTACGTTGTATCTTCTCATATTTTTCCATAATGTACAATTATCTTGATTTATGTTCCAATAAAAAATTCAGTATGCGTCTGAGAGAATAAGGAAACGAATGAAGTATAAAACGGATATATCATAAAAACAATAATATGATTACGCATTTTTGTTTTAAGACGAGCAATAATATGATTACGCAAGTGATAAATGATACTCACAGAAGCAAAATGGTTCACATCTCGATGGTGAGCCTCATCAGCACGAATGACTGTTATAACATCTTTCAATTTGGCATCCTTGGGAAGCCTCCAATAGTCTATTGCAATGGCAGGAGCAGGAACATTTTCAATTGCACCACTCTCAAGATCCTTCAAATACTCGGTGTAAGAATGTATAGCCTCCTCCTCAAGATACCCAACTATTCTATGAGCCACCTTTGGGGAGAGTATGTAAAGTACGAAAAACGCATTGAAGAACACTCCCTGTACAGCAAGAACCAGCAGTCTTTCGTACCATGTAGGTTTCACAAGTTCCACCATAGTCATCAGGTGCATTCTCTCGTTCTCTGCTTCCTCGAGCAATGCTTTGATCCAACCACCACTATTCTCAAACTTACGAAGTGACTTCAGGTGCAACAACATCCCTCCTACCATACCAGGAACAGCTGCAACTGTTTCCAGCATCATTGCTCGGCAACCATAACGTCTCTGAAAATATATGGAAAACGATGGATGACAATACCATTACCCATGAATAATATCTTTGAAAAAAAAAAAATTAATGAAGCTGCAGTATATACATGTTACATATTTCCATGGATAAGCAGAAAATGAATGCATCAATAAACATCTTATTTGTAGCCAAAAGTATACAAGTAAACTTTATTATTAAATCAAATGAGTTGAGCAGTTCTAATTAAACTAAACAGATCAGCATGACTTAAGAACACATAATTTTAGCGACCATTACATATTTCTTTCCTTTTTCTTTTGTTTTGGATCAAGCTACTAGGGACTTGTATCGAGTGAGATATCACAATTTACACACCTTAAAAAACACATCAGTTGGAATTCTGAGAAGCTTCACTGTCCTGTAAGCAACTTTATCCTGAAAATTCTTTGGCACGTGATGCTTAGTAAGATCTATAGACAAGTTTGGTCGATAAGTCTCCCACGGCTACACAGACAAATTAAGAAACCAAGCCCGTAAGAATTCATAGATAACCATAGCCACATCATTCAATAAATCATAAGCATAACACAACAATCAACAAACATCTACTCTCATGAACAACATCAAAATCCGCAGACAGAAATTCTAAATGATAAGGAATTTGTGATAAATTAATCAACGCTGCTAAGATATTCAGTTAAACTTCATTCATAGTAATCAGAATCCTCACCATGAAGCAGTTCCAAGGCCACTCCGTTCCGTCTTCTCTCACAACCCTCGGCCTCGAAATTCCCCAATAACTCGACTCCGCCACGCTCTTCTCAGTCTCCTCCTTATCCTTCTCCTTCTCCGGCATCTTCGCCTCCGCCGGCGAAGCCATCGTCCTCTTCCAGTAGAAGAACCTTCCGTTCCCGCCGCCAGCACAGAGGAGCCTCGTCTCCACCGCCGCAAACGGCCTCACCGCCGCCGAACCGTGGCGGTTACAGTTGCGGCCATTGAGCAGAGCTCGCCGGGCCGCGGAACTCAATGCAAGGAGCTTCATCTCTCGATGGAAGAATCGCGCTCGCGTTTTCCAGAGACTTCGTTTATAACCGACTTTTCATGATTTATGAAATTGCGGTTACTGAAGAAGCATATGGAGGGAAAAGAATCGCGAGCGAAGTTACGGTCCCATGCTTGTCTCGCGAGGACGGATCAGAACCGTTGTTGGCCGTTGATTAAGTGTCTTGTGATGAATAAACGGTGGTGATGATGAAGGAAAGGAGTGGAGGGTGTTTAATGCATTTAACGCGCGCAGTTTTTGGATAATACTACTTAGAAACAGTCACTAAAATGAGCATATAGTTGGAGTGTGTAAGGCGGTAAGAGAGGGATTTGATTCACTGCAACGCAAATATTGTAGTGCTTGGACTTGACCAATAGCTTTTCTTTTTGACAAATTTGGATGATAAAATGGGAGGAGGAAAATGGTTCTCCAAAGATTTGTCCTAATAGCTTAATTTTTTTTTCATTAAATCTTTATTTTTCTCTTCTTTCTGGATTATCTATTTCTTCTATTTTTTTTAATTAGATTAGAGAATAAGTATAGACATGAACTCTTAACTCCACAAAAATTGTTGATATTAAAATATAAGTAATTCTATAATAATATTTGGATACTTATAATTTACAAACACTTAAGTGATTCTTTTTATTTGTTTCTATTTTTTTTTATTATGTCATATTATAAATCATATTTTTTTTTCTCTCTCAAGGCACCTACATACACGTCAAGAAAATCCCACGATAAAATCATGTTTTATTCTAATTTAAGCTTTTTTGAAGAAAAAAAAATACATATCGTGAATTCAACGTAAGCCTTCAAGACCATGCAAAATCTTTCTTTTACCTTCTTTCTTCCATGACATAAAATACAATTCTTTGTACCGAAACAAACAAAACAGAATTCTAAAAGTCATTGCGCGAGTTATATTGTGTATTAATGTTGAGTGCCTCTACAAATGCTAATCATATAACGGTTTGAAGAATACAAATGTTTAATCGCATGATCAAATTTTTCATTATGACCACAGAATGTTTAACATCCCAATTGCGAAGACCCAATTACAAATTCACATTTGTTTCATTATTGATCACTAAGACTGTGTTTGGTAAAATTTGTGTTGACATGGGAAAACTTGGTAGTAATGTTAATTACAGATAGATCCTCTGTCTAAAACTACAGATATTTAAGTATAGAAGATATGTAAATTTATTGCTCATTTACTGTTACCTTTTATGATCTTATGAAACAGATAAGGTGTGTAAGCAAAGAGAAATTATTAGGTAACCTTGAAACACGTTATCCCTGATTAATCTCATCTACTATAGATCTTTTCACGTCTCTCCTGCAAGCTTTTCTCTCCTTTTTTGTTGTACAAAAAGCTAAGGACTCAAATCTCACTGGATTTTGGCTGGAGGAAAATTTTGCTGGAAAGGATTTAATTGCAAGTACTCAATTGTTTTTAATTTTTTTATTAATTAAAATACTAAAATATGTGATACAGATATGGGCTAATATGGATAGTAATTCTGAACAATCCAATACTTTCTCATAAGCCAAGTACAAGTTGGGTTTATGATGTCTCCAAAAGTATCACCAAACTAACTATTGATCTCTATAAATTTAAAGTGCAGACTGAAAATACATTTCATTGAACTTTCAGGCACAAATAATAAGTTTAGACAACAAAGGCTAGTAAAAGTTTACAACAATGACTCAGTGGTAACCAATAGGAGCAGGAGCCTCTTTTAATTCCTTTCCTTGATGGTGAATATCCTGCACAAAGAAAAACACACAGCATTCAGAGTCAGAACAAAGCGAAAGCGAAACAAACCGAAGGAAGAGGTAAAAAAATAAGTGAAACAAAATTGTGACTCACAGAAGCAAAGTGGTTAACATCCCTGTGGTGAGCCTCATCAGCGCGAATGACAGTGACAACATCCTTGAGTGTTGCGTCCTTGGGAAGCCTCCAGTAGTCGATAGCAATGGCAGGGGCAGGGACGTTTTCTACTTTACCACTCTCAATCGCATCCAAGTGCTGCGTGTACGAGATCACAGCCTCTTCCTCCAAATACCCAACAAACCTATGCGCTGCTTTTGGTGAGAGGAGGTAAAACACAAAGAAGGCATTGAAGAAAACACCCTGCGCAGTAAAAATGAGAAGCCTCTCGTGCCAGCTTGGCTTCACAAGCTCCACCATGGTCATCAGGTGCATCCTCTCGTTCTCTGCTTCCTCAAGCAATGCCTTGATCCAACCCCCACTGTGCTGAAACTTCCTCAGAGATTTCAGGTGTAACAACATCCCTCCCACCATTCCCGGAACAGCTGCAATTGTTTCCAGCATCATCGCGTGGCACCCATATCGTTCCTAATGATTATACACCAGACTTAATTAGCTTAATCAACTATAAATATTATTAATCGTTAGTATCAAAGATACAACTCTTACTATATATGCATACATACCTTGAAGTACAAATCAGAGAGAACCCTTAGAAACTTTACAGACCTGAAAGCAACCTTGTCCGTTAGCGACTTTGGTGTGTGGTGCTTTGTCACGTCTATTGACACATCTGCGCGATAACTGTCCCATGGCTGCCAATGATATCATAGAAAAAATGTTCAAAAAGAAAGATATCAACATAATAGTATATAAAATGAGAAGTGAAAAGTAATTTTCATCTTACACAAAGACTCAAATTCACTTTTTCAGATAACAGTCCTAGGGATTATTAATACATCAAGATATGATCTTAATATGAAAATTATATAATTTTTACCTTATAATTCAATTTCATAAAGTTGAATTATCCATAATATGACCATAGCATTGTCTAGTTTTAGTCTTAAGAATGCGAACAAATTAAATATTCAAAGTGTCACCTATAATGATTCTACTGGCCTAGAGTAAGGTGTTCTCTATGTGATCTGAAACAAGAAAAAAAAAAAAAAAAGTTGTTTTGAAAGATGATTCGTTTCTTACCATGAAACAGTTCCATGGCCACTCAGTCCCATCCTCCCTGCGAACCTTGGGCCTCGTGATCCCCCAGTAGCTTGAAATGACGGCGTTGTTGTGGTTGGCATCGTTGACCTCGTTTTTTTTCTCCTCTGACTGTTGATGATCCTTTATCTCTGGAAGCGAGGACATCCTCCGCAAGTAGAAGCTTCCAAACGCGGCGCCACCATGCTGGTGTCTGGTTTCGACGATCGGCGCCGTCGAGAGCTGGCGGTAGTAGCTCCGGCCACCGCCAAGCAGGACTCGTGCCGCTGACCTTACTAAAATATGCTTCATGCTGAATCTTGATCTATGGGTGAAAGTGGGTGGGAATTGGAGATTTATATATGAAAGGAATAATGAATAATTTGATTTTTTGGTGTTGGATTTTGAGTTTGCTATGACAAGAGGGGGAAAGAAGGAAGAAGGGTCGGGGAAGGTCACATGATATTTTGGTTATGAACTGTATGGTTAATAAAGTTGACAAGGATTATTACTTGCCATGATGTTGGAAAGGCGATTAGGTTTGATGCCTTCTATGACCGTGTGCACGTGGCAGTCATCCAAGCACGGTGGACTTTTCTCTAATGTTGGTGTTGACTAGTATGTTGTATGCTGGACCAGATGGACCTGTTCCAATTAACGTCTTCTGCTGAGACTTGAGAGGATTAAGAATTCAAAAGAGTACGGAGCAGCCATATCAGACATTATCTTCCCAAAATGTCTGAATATTACGTTACGTTACTAGTACGCACGGCTGGTCAATAAGATTGCTTTTTACTTTTATTATTTCATTCACTGCAGTTAAATTCTTTTTTCATTTTCACTATTAGATTACACACATGCATGAGACCTTATCGTGTTCTCTCCCTATGTTATCACTTCCTTTATAAAAAAAATTGGCCAAATTATACTTTATTTCTCTATTTTTATTAATTTATAATTTTAATTATTCTATTTTAAATAAAGATATTTAATCTTCATAATTTAAAAAATAAGTCTAAATTTTAACATTTTTTTAGTAACTTATTATTAGAGTTGTCAAAATGGATCAGCCTGGTGAGTCAACCCGGGTCACCACGAATTCAAGCCAGGTTAGACAAAAAAAAATTAAAAATTTTAGTACGTTATTTTGAATTCGACTCACCCAGGTTGAACCCATGGTGAGCCAGACTGATCTACCAACCCTTAAAAAAAAACATTTACTCTTATTGGGCCAAATTAAGGTTGTTGCTGTTTTGAAATCTAATTACCCATATGTCTTCGCATGTTATGCTCAACATTATAATACCGTTCTATCACTAGCTTTCTATCTTTTGGATTCAACATAATTTTTTTTTTAGAAAGCGGGCATAATTAAATTAAATGATCACTTTAAATATGTATTGAATGTGTATATGAATACAGTCTTAAAAAGTTTCTAAAAGCTTTTTTACTAAAAATATTGAATATTTTTTAGTAAATAAAAACTCTTTAAAATCCTTATAAACTTGTATACATAAACAAATATTATTTAATTTCACATTATTCAGTGATATTATTTTCATTTGATTGAAGTTTTATTTATATTAAAAAATATATTTTTTTTTAAATTAGGTGAGCCAACCTGTTTAACCTACCAACCCGTGGTGGGCCTAGCCAGGATCAATTTTTTTTAGCTCACCAATAAATGAGCTGGGTTGGGTTGGCCCACCAAATGCTCAACTCGTGGTGGGTCAAGTCGGGCTGGGCCGGGTTACCCGTTTTGACAGCTCTACTTATCACATTTATGGTTAAGATTCTTTATGAAGTTAAAAGTCATATCCTCAAAGAATGATTCTTCCACTTATATATGGTTGATTCTTTTCTCTCTTTTTTTTCCTTTATGAGTTCTAGTATCATATTGAATTATTTACCTATTATGTTTGGCTAATTTTCTTATTTTAGTATTATGATGTAATTATTCCTAATAAACTTCAATAATAAACTAAATAATTTTTTTTTGTTATTATCATATTATTTTAGTATTTTTCATTTCTATTCCTTTTAATTAAAAATGCATGATTAAACTCTTTGGATTAATTGAATCCAAAAATAATTGAACTTTGAAAATTTGCTTGATCAAGTTAGTTTCCACAGTTTTTAATTAAATTAATTTATTTTCTTGTGCATTTTTATGCTTTATTTTATGAATAAACTTTTACAATTGATTTGGAATTTTTCCAAAATAAATACGGACAATTGTCTGCATAAACGGTTGTTAACAATTTCAAAAATGAAATTGACAGCAAAGGTATGGAAAATTGTGAAATTCATATTAAAACAATAGTCATAACTCTAAGTTTTTATCTTTGAATCCCAATCAATTTATTTATTATTTTAATTTTTAATTAAATTTTTATTTTCTATCACATTCGCATTATCAAATTTATCCCTTCAAAATGCTAAAATCATAGTTAAAGTTAACAATTGCTTAAACATGTTCTTTTGAGTTTGATATTTAAATTTTATTCATTGTTACTATTGTGACAAACTACTAAAATCATAGTTAAAGTTAGTAATTATTTAAACATATTATTTTAGATTTGATATTTGAACTTTATTCATTATTATTATTGCGATAGAATATGTTTATTTTAAGTACATTTTATACTCAAAAATGTGATATTTTCTTATATTATTGTGTGCATGATATTCAAAAACTACATTTTAATGACATCCTGTATTTTAAAAATGTTTATTAAAAAATTGTTTACATCACTTATTTAAATAAAATGATAAGAATGAAACTTAATGTAATGATTCTACTGTTTTTTCTTCTTGAGTTTCAACTATAAATTTAACTGAAATGGTATTGCAAATGGAAAATGTAGAATTATATTGTCTTCTTTAAGCAGACAATTCAATCTATGTGACGATTTAAGTGAATGATGTTGACACTCTAAATAAAATATTATTATTTAATTTCGCATCGAATGTATATTTGACGAGAGACAACACCAAAGCAGAGTTAAACGCAAGGTGTTAGAACACAGAAAATTTGAAATTTAAAAAGCAACACCAAAAGAAAAGGTTTTGTTTTAACCTTTGCAATAATGATAACTTTCACTAAAATAAAATATTAAATTCTTACAAACTTTCAAAACCCTTTTTGGCTAACTCTAAATAGGAATATGCATTCTTAGTGCACGCTCCTATGGTGTGACATTCTTTATTTTTCTAAAATTAATATTAATATAATAATTAAAAGGAATATACTTTAGCAATCAACAAAGTTATCCGATCTAGGAGTATATCATATTAGGTGTCTATCATTCAATACTCTTGTTCGATAAAATATTCATCAATGACTCGTCCGGATTATAAAATTGTAATATGCCAATTTATACTTATTATAAAGACTGAGGATCTCCAAACAAAGTTAATCCCAAATATTCAAATACTTTGATCATTATAAGACTTTCTTGACATAGGATTTCACACTTATACCACAAAAACACAAGTTTTACTGTATATTATGAAATACTTTAAAAGTTTAATTTATTTATGAAATTATTTTAAATTAAATTTAAAATTCAAATCCATTTATGTGACCATTGATTAATGATTAAACATTTTTAATCTATTTAAATTTATTTTAATGTAATTTTGTTAGTTGTCTGTTGTTGTTTTAAATTGTGAACATTTTATTACTATTTGTCTTTAATATTCGATCTATTTAACTAATGCGATCAAATTTTCCTTTTATAAATACCATGCATCTTTTGATGAGTAAGATACATTGAGAAGCAAAATTATGTCTTCTTCTATCTTGTTTTCTCACTTACTCTTTTTTTTTTTTAAAGGTTGAGAACTAATCAGTTTTGCATTTTGAGATTTTGGGTGGGAGTATACAAATAAGTTCTTTAAAACAATGTTCTTGCACACCTTAGGAAGTTAACTTTGTTCATGTTTTAGTATTTGTAAACAATAAATTTAATGCATATGATACATGTCACATATAAATATGGTCGAATGATTCAACTATTATTTGATTGTCAAATGTCAACTATTCCAATCATCCAATTGGTTCCACTGACTATGTCTCTCAATAGTTCTCAAAGTTCTTTCCACTTTCACATACTCCACTCTTAAAGGCTCAAGCAACCAAGGGACCAACACGGTCATGTTCATGTTAAGTACTAACACGAGTGTGCTAAGTAAAGAAAAGGTGACCATGGGCCTATTCACCCCAATTTAACCTCATGCTTGATTTTCAAGTTTGTGCTACATAAACTAAAGCACTATCATGCTAACCTAAGCCTGGTTGTGCTGATTTCTTGAGTTTCTACATCACAAAAAGAACATGACCATGCTTACTAAGAGTGCTCGTGTTCAAATTTTCACTTTCCGCATTGGAGAATGAACACAATCATGGTTAACCTAAGCACAACCGTGCCCCCTTTATCATGTCCTTGCTTGTGCACGACAATATTCCCAAACAATGTGAATGAGATCAATACAATACCTCTTATGCTCTTCTCACTTATGTTCAATTCCCACGTGCCTTTCTCTCGTTAATTTGCATTATTATCGTTGTCATATTCACAAGTAATACACATTCAACCATCCAACCTACAATGCATTCAATATCAATATAAGTCATCAAGTTTCAAGAACTCCAAGGTATCCAATTCATTGCAACAAACTTAAAAACACCAAACATAACATTTCATCTAACTACTCACGAGACATTTCAACAAAACATATAATATATTAATATTAACACAACTTTGGAATGATCAAAACCCCTCAAAGATCATTAAATTAAAATCTATGGGATTGAGGGACAACTTTATTACCCACAATTTATTTCACATTCATTGCATTGTTGAGAAAAAGCTCCTATGAATATAAAGGTCTAATAAAGTGTTTCAAGCTCTTCCACAAATTTTTTTTTTATGACAAGAAGTGTTGGAGATCCCACATCCTCAAATGATATGGCCATAATATTGTATATAAGTGAAAAAAAATATTTATATTAATAATCAATTTTATAAGATTGAGTTAGATTCATAATATATTTTTAAGATGATATTAGAGTATATAAAATTCTCCATCTCAATGATGGTACTATTTTGACTTTATTACTAATGAATGTGAGGTATATAACTTAAAATTTTCAATCATGTATCTTTTTATTTTTATTACTATTTTATTTTAAGTTCATTTTAAATTTTAATATTTTAACTTTTATTTATAAGAATAAAAATATCTTTATATTATAATAAAAATTATTTATTATAAATCCAAAATATATTTTATACGTTGAAAACACATATCTTCAATAACTAACTTATATATTAAAAGTATTTTTATTATAAATAATAAAACTATAGTTATATAAAGAGCGTTTATCTTATATGTACATATACAAAAATATTACTATATATATATTATATGTTATATATATATATATATATATATATAATATATTATATA